TTTTACTTCCAAGTCATCTAGTCTTAAAAATGTAGGCTGAATACTAAGTAAAATTCAGAGATGCAGCTTATCTAATAGTGTATTTCCAGAACACACATGCACAGAAACTTCATCAGAACATAATCATATACAGACCATGATAATGTAAGAATGTGTGTGCTATTTTACTTGTTGGTCATATAACCACTTTCAGAGAGTTATCTGTCACCTTCCGAGGACAAGAGCTACTCTCCAGCTATAGGAATTACACAGCATTACCATGTGGTAATGAGTGCATCTCATGCTATTCTGTACCAATGGTGATTCACATCCTTTTCTCATCTAATGAAAAAGATACCCTTATAGCTATCTCAGAGCAGTCAAAGTCTCACACATTCTGAAAAATCTTAGAGTAGAATAACATTAAGAACCACCATTCCACTACTGAAAAAAAATCTTAGAAGCATTACTTTCTGAGTACTCATTTCTCTACCATCTATGTCATAGACATTTACACTGAAAACATTCCTAATACCATTGCAATATGCTTAGAGTTATAACAATTTCCGAAATGGCTACAAATATGAGGCTTATTTCAGTGGAACAACATACCACAATGCTGTATTCTCATTATGCCAGCCACCATATTCCACCATTATTCCATCAACTCCTTTTTGAAGAAGTTCACACATATGAACAAATGAACAAATGAATGAACAAATGAACAATTCTGTTATGTTCCTGACAGCCTGTACATTTTCTTTTTTATTGACAAAGCAGTACACAACTGGAAAGAGGTACAGTTATCAAAATACACTCTCTAAAATGAATAAAATAAAACCAACTTATTATCAAGACCTTATTTTTCCCTAACACAAATATTTTTAGGAAACAAGGAGTTTACTACAGAGAAAGATGCAAGTCCTTTTTGCCATTAGATGAGAAGAATCAAACGCCTCAAAGAGCTAAATTGAATGTTTTAGAAGAAATAAGAAACAGAGGGATGATAAATAAACTGTGACCACTTGGAAGCACAGGAAACAAATCCACAAAAAACTAAAATTGCCCCTTGCTCTAGTTCTGCATTGTGGGAATGCACAACCTGTGCATTCTCTAAATGTCCACTTATCCAAAATAATACATACATATAGAAATGAACAGGTTTTTAAAAACACAGAGAGCGTAATAATCCAGAAATAGTACATGCTGTTCTGTTACATTATCTCTTGTCACCAAAAGTTTTCTCTTCCCCTACACCACTCCCAAATCATATTGCTATATTTGTCTTACAGGAAAGTTAAAAAGGATTATGATTTTCTAGTACCTAAAAAAATACTATTCAAATGAATAGCACAATCAACACAGTGTGCATAATTCATTTGTACACCACCTTATTTTGTAAGATAGAAAAGAATGCTAGAAAGAGGAAACTCTATGGAGGTTTTCCTCCTTTATTGATATTTAAGTACAAACAAGTATTTACAAAATAAATAGACACCAACTAAGAAGCATTTTCATCTACGAATAACATCATTGCCCAAAATAATATTTCAGCTATACTTCAGTTGCACTCACGGATCAACTAAGATTATTTCAAGGAGGAACAAGGAGGACTGGATCTAGAAACTGCTCTATTTGTGTATGAAATAAAAGGATAAAATATCTCTAAGAGGAATTTCTGCTTGACCACATACCGTCAAGTCTACCTTAGTCTTTGCAGAGTATTTTTTTTTCATGAGCCTGGACAAAACACTTGAAACTGGCACATGAAACTGCACATTGTATTTGTTGGAAAAGGCAAAAATACAAAAGTTAAAAAGAGAGGCAGTATGATATAGTGGTACAGAGCACAGGACTGGGACTTAGGAGATCTGGGTTCTAGTCCCTGCTTAGCTATGGAGGCAACTGAGTGACTGAGTGGAGGCAACTGAGTCACAGACTTTCAATCCAACATACCTCACAGGGTTGTTGGATAAGATTACAAGCAGGAGGAAAATGATGTAAGCCACTTTGAGTTCTTTAAAAAAAGAAAAGGGTGGGATATGAATCAAACAAACAAACAAACAAACAAATAAATAAATAAATATCACAAGGAACATAGTGACAATAAAAAAGAAAGAGCTCTAGTTAATTGCCCAGACAGTGCTACCCCTTTTCACTGCTGTACTGCAATGACCCAAGATCAAAGGTGGTAGTGCTGGAATTTTTCAGAAATACACATATAATTCTATACAGCACTGAAATCAAAACTTTGTTTAATTCTATGGCCACTTCAAATGAAAGAAACACTGTAAATATATCAGGACCAGATTGTTTACAGTGATTTCCTTGTATTCTTTTACAATGTGTGGAAGTAACAAGACTTTATATTTCTAACAAGAAAAGACGCCTGCAAGTCTTTTGTTTCTCTACTTATTATCTTCTTATCAGTATTAGATTGCAGATCTAATACTGTTTCCCTTCCAGAACATGTACAAAGAAATGTACAATTCGCCAATTTTATAAGAGAAAAATAAAGAGCCAGAAAATTTTTAAAAAGCAGAGTGAAACCCTTCAGTACAATTGATATTGTGTGGGGTTTGGGGGAGGGGCTTTTAAAAAAATGCAAACAAAAATAGCACAATGTAGTCTGAGTCATGCAGTTACTAATTATGGTACTATTCAAACATTTCAGCGTCTTTCACAGCAATATGGAAAATTTTGTTGTAAGTATATCAGTTAAAGACCTTTCATGAATAGAATTGTTAGCCAACTTATAAGCAGTCACAGAGACATCCCAAAGAATCTTGAGAGTTCAAGAACATGAAACAGCAATACAATTGTGGAAGACTATTCAACTGAAACCCATCCATTTCCTTTAGATCCCAGAACTCTTAACACCTGCTTTGCAAACAGTATTTTTTAGGCATCCTTCTCTAAAGAAAGATAGCCAACAATCAGCTGCAAAAGATGCTTACCAGATATCAGACCCAGTACTGAAACACTTATTTTACTTGTTCCACACAGAATCTGAAACTTTTGAGTGCAAAAGTCTAATTACCTAACTACCATTAAATCTGGCCCTTGCTGCTTTGTCCTCACCATTTTGTTTGAAGTCTAAATGAGAGTACTGGAGAATGGGACACCTTGCTCACTATTTTTTAACATTTGCATTGGTCCTAGCAGGTACCCCCATGTGGATTTTCCTCCCCTTGTATATCAACACAACTGTCTATGCACAGGTTGTGCACATAATATTGTGAGAATGTTATGATACTTATTTATCACTAACAATCGTAATTTAAATAATTAATGACACAGTACCTTCAGTATACAACAGATCCCCATTCCAAAGCAATTACAGCTGAAATTTCAATATGCAGAGATATATCAGAAAGGGAGGCAGCAATAAACAGGTAAAGAATGCAGAAATGCTTCAGTGACACAGTCTTAGTCTTGTTTACAAGCAGCATTAGATAAGACATGTTTTTGGCCAAAAATAAAAAAGTAATTTCCATACAATGCACATAAGACAGTTTTACAGGGAAGTTCCTCAGATTGCTAAATTAGTACTGTATGTATGGGAATCAGTTCCATGCTGTGCTGGTTTTGCACTACAAACTCAGAGAAGCATCCCAGAACATATAAATCAACTGCATAAGCCTAGACTCATAATCCCTAATTCACCTATCTCATTGTTCATTGTGTGGTCACAGGGCCAGCAAGACATAGGGTACTACCTGTGAAATTGAGTATATAAATTCATAATGCTGAGTTTCCATCTCAATTTATGTAAGGAAATCTAATGCAGAGCAAATAATTGTGCCTTGAGTCTCTGAACAAATGCTGTCGGCGGGAAATTTCCAGTAAAATCTTACCTGGAACTAGATCTCCTCTGTGTGACTGTGCAATCCAAGCTACAGCCCAGCTCCACCCCAACTCTACCTGCTCTATTAATTGCAAGAACTACTGCAGACATTTTTTTGGGGGGGAGTGCATGGATCAACATATCATTGTGCTGACGGAAACCACCAGAGGACATGACCTAAATAAAGCTTTTAAGAATCTAGGCACAAACTTACTCCCTTTTTTCCTCTGGCTCAGACTGCTATTTATTTGCAAATAAGACTCAAACAGGACATGATGGCACTAGATCTATGTGTTTAAATTCTGATCATTTAGACCAGTTTCATAGATAGGACAGGATGAGGTCTGATTTTAACAGCTCAAAGAAGCATGAAAGCAAGTGATGATCAAGCCTTCTCTGATAACTTACTCCCCACAGCCCTTTCCAAGTACTTTTCTTCCAGTTAATCTCATCAGCACCAAGATTAAGAAAGGTGCAGAAAAATTAGAAAGTGTCCAGAGGAGGGCAACAAAAATGATCCAGGGTTTGCAAACAATGCCCAATGAGGAGAGACTGAGAGAATTGGCCATGTTCAGCCTTGAGAAGAGAAGACTGGTATCCCTCTATAAGTACCTCAAAGGCTGTCACAAAGAGGAACTCTTCTCACTGATATCAGAATTCAAGACATGGTATAATCAATTCAAGTTGTGGCAACCCAGATTCAGGCTAGATATCAGGAAAAGTTTCCTCACTATCAGAACAATACAACAGTGGAATCAGCTGCCTAGAGAGGCTGGGGGCCCTCCCACACTACTGAAATTCCAAAAGAAACTGGACAGCCAATGGTGTAAATTGGTTTCTTGTAACAGGAGGGGGTTGGACCCAATGGCCTTAATGGCCACTTCCAACTCTACTGTTCTATGGTTCTGTGATTTCCTATACTGGAATTTAACTGAGAGGTTAAAGCACCTGGAGGAGAAGATCACAGCAAACTATGGACAGGAAAACATTTATCGTTACCTACCCACAGACCTATGCAGGTGTCAAAAAGGACCATCTTTGTCACATTCTCTTTCTACATGCTCAGGACAATGATTCTTCTGCATGCATTTAACAGAAATAACACACAGCTTGAAAAACAAAACAAACACAATACAAACTGCAAATTCCCATTGATTTGTTTCCCATTACTTACTTCAAATGATAGGAGTGTTCCAAGGTGCTACAGTAAGAGTTTTTTCTTCTCCCCTCCTTGTACCAGTTGCTGCAGCAGTTTTTTTCTGAAGTTTAGCCTGTACATTAGAACTCTTTCATTGTGCTCCAGGATGCTACAATTAAAAACAAAACAGGAAATATTGAGAGGGGAAATGTCACTTCAAGTGGTTGGTGGGGAAATCCCTGAGCTGTCTATAATGTGCCTCTGATAACTTTAAGTAAACTAGTTTTGTAACCAGAAAGAACAGTAAGTGGTCAATTTTGTGGGTTCTTTCTCTTTTTGTTAACTTTGTAACCTAAAGATTTTTTAAAAATATTTTTAATGTTTTCTCTGTTAGTTTAGTTAACATTCTTTGATGATTAACATGAGATCAACTGGTCATTAAGCAAAATATATTCACATGGGATGAGTTGGAAGCAACCACAGAGAATGAGGACAAACAATAATTGTGGTATGCAAAATGGCTGGTGTAAAAAGATAAATACATCAAATGAGTTGTAGAACTGTCATTGTCCAGTGTAGACACATACAGGTTATCCTCACCTCTTCTGCTGCACTGAACACTTCCTTCTCTATACAAAACATCAGTTCAACATCAATATAGGCTTTATTTTCTTTAATTGACCAATTTTCAATAATCAAAGCAGAGAGAAAGGGAACATTCTTCTGGGCTCTAATGTTGCCATATATATTTCCCCATCACTTTTTTTTAGCATGCCAAAGTTGTCAATAGTAACTGCAAGCTTAACATATTTTAATTTTTGTCTACCACTTATCAAAAGGTAAACTCATTCACTGAGCTCATTCTGTAGCTATGTAGACAGTACACTTAGTGATTTCTGACTTACTGCAAAAATTCCAGGCCTTTTCTATCAAGGTAAAACTACCATGCTGCTTCCTCAAGGTTTAAAATGCAAAAGATTCTTGCTCAGCAAATATTATTTCTTTCCTAGTCAATGTTCACCGCTCTATGAAGTGCTGCATAAATTGTTGCTACAGGGCTATTTCAGGCACCAACGTAATTGTGCTTTTTGGCACTTTTGGAGGGATCATATCAAAAGTGAAGATGTGTTTACCCCAGCAGTAGGCAACTTCAGAGGGCATTATACCAGTCTCCACCAAACCTTCTGCGGATACATCCATCCCCATCAAAACCAGAAGTGGCCACACTGCATCCCCAGCTGTTCGACAGGCTAAATGTGCAGGTAAAATATGGAGGCAGCATACAGCTTCTTTCTCAGTGAAATCACACCTGTTTGATGAGCTAAGAAGGAAGTGAAATTCTGCTGGGAAAGAAGGCACGTGCTCTCCATGTGTCTTGTTTCCCAGCAGAATTTCTGGGAATCTGAAATTGCATGCAGACAGGAAACCAGGTAGGACTCACAAAGCTCCCTTTGAACGCTTACATGTTGCCCCTCCCTGCTCTATAGAGATGAAAAACAAGGTAATAGAATCATTACCCTCAATGCCATCATTCCATAGGCACACCCAACTGGCCAAATTTGTGTAACTTGGGAACTATTTTTTTAAGTTGCCATTTTCACTAGGACTAACTTCCACAATCTATGTAAATCACATCTTTGTTTGGGCATGTGTCTCCCTTTATCTCCTGTCCCATCAGCCATTCTTCTTCATCTTCAACTACAATTTCTAATCCTCCTCCTAGATCCTGACAGTTCAGACCAGAACCCTTGTTATTTTTTACTGGTGACTAAAATCCAGCCCTTATAACACTGTACAGGGCTTAGAGAGGAAGTTAGGAAATAAACAGTCAAGAGCTCTGGAGGACACCCAGCAAGGTTATCAGCACAGCCTTCCAAACATCTGCAATGTCTTGTTTAATTTTTAGGGCTGTCAAGCAGTTAAAGAATTTTCAGGTTAGTATCTTCATCTGTGAAGATCAGGGCCCTCTGTCTATCTTATGTCCTGTAGGAATGACAGAGGCAATTTTACTTTCTGTTCCCCCACTCCCTTAAAAAAAAAATTAAATGAGATCAGTGAGGAAATTCTACTGCAGAACATGGCCCCTCCTCTCCTCTTTCTTTCTCACCGAGCTTCCTGTACTATTTTTGGCCTTCCAGAAGTTTTTGCAAGGTCCATCTACAACCTCAGACTAGAAATTAGAGCAACACTTTCTGGGAAGGCTACAAGGGGGCAGGGGCAGGGCCACGGCCAGGTAAGAGTTAATGCTGGGTTCCCTGTAGTGAGGCCTTGCAAGTGTCTACGGTCTTGGGAGGGGGGCTACTATGGCTTTTGGGACACTTTCCCAGGACCACACACTGCTCCATTAAGCAAGCTATTATATTTAAATAGATATGGATATTATACGAATATATTTAAGAGAACTAGTAAAACAAAAAGAAAAAAGAAAAGACCAATCTCAGTATTTCCTTCTTGATATCATAGGGCATTAACATTTGAGACATAAAAAATAATCAGGTGTGCCTTCAACATTCTGCCCTCTAATACCTCAAAGTTAACCCTCACTACTTAATCAACAAAGATTTTCATTGGTAAGATCCTCTGATCAAACATGCAACCCTAATATTGTTTTAATGTTGTGTATTTATTGTGCCACTTCTCTGCACAAAATTAAAAGAAAGTAAACCATATTTTTATTATCTTTAATCGACCTGAACTAGAGGTTAAGAACCTCAAGTCAAGAGATGAAATGCAACCTTCTTGGTTTCCCCAAATGGCTATATCCCTTTCCAATGCCTTGTTCCCTTTCTCCAGGATACCAATAATTTGGTTATTTCCTAGCTTTTGTGCACTCATTCAAAAAGCCAAAATGCCCCTCCTAAGGTGTCATTTCTGGTAGCAAAGGCTTTGCGATAGAATATGCGTATAAGCTTCAATGTTTCTTCTTCAGCCCTGTCCACCCACCACCAAAATAGAGCCCTGAAAGCTTCTCTGATTTGGAATTATGCCCTTCACTGGAAAGTGGTTCAACAACTCTGATATAAACGAAAAGCCAGCTTGAAAGATACTGCTTGCTGGCAGAGGATGACCAAGACAAGCCGAATCCTTATTCCCTGGAATTGTTATGTATTTTGCTTAAGTCAATATAGTCTTGAACATATCTTACAAGAAGTGAATTGCTTCTTTGTTAAGAAGACCACCTCTTCCTCCCAAGTACATGCCAACTGCACATCTACAGACACACATACATGCTCAAAACACAAATACAAATGCTAGTTGCAGTAATGCCTTCCTAATAAACACTGGCAGGCCATATGGCTTTCCTTGGAATACACTGTTAATCTGCATATTCAGTTACTCAAAGGAAAGGTTTCAGTTTATGGCTTAGTAAGACCATGAAACTTGCTGTGGTCTTATTTGCTTTTTCTCCAGCACACATCATTGGAATCCTCATAACAAAACCATACTATAGGAAAAAGAATTAGTATTACTGCAACCATGGAATCACTTTACAGCTCCTAAAATAAGATCAAGTGCAGCTTTCTTAAGCACTTTAGGTATATTAATCTGCATGCTATGAAAAGTGGTATGCATATTAGGAAAAAGCTTAATTCTTGGTTAGTTCATCTGGGTTGGTTATTATTTACCATCTCTGCTACCAAGTGCTGGGTCAGTAGGTTGGCTCAGTAAATTATTTCTTACAGTTACATTATGGCTTTTTCCTTCTATGAGGAACCCAAGACAAAAGTGGAACTCTTGCCCCAGGTTATCCCCTTCTTTATGGATCTTCTGCCATAAGATGAATTTTTTAAAGTTAGCCATTGTTCTCTCTTCGGCTTCATTTTATTAAATTCAGTACTAAGAGCAGAATATTCTTGGTGTGTGGAAGGTGAAATTATTTTTCTAAACAGGCCTAGTTCAGATCTAACAGAAAATTATTTCCTTGTATCTGAACAAGCTATAGAGAACTTGGCTTGTATGGATCCTCTCCCTACTCCTCCTGTGAGGCTAGAATGAGTGCAGAAATGTCCCACTTCTGGACTCTGGGAAGTGTGTTTTCTTTAAATTATAGTTTCAGAACATGCCAGAATCTGCAAACATTTGGAAAACACTGTTTAAACAAACCAGAATCCCCTTCGTTGTTCCATAAAGGGGAACTGTGGGTTGTTTATAATCAGAAGCGAAAACTTCCAGCTTTTTCCTCATGGCTGCAAAAGAGGACAATAGGCAAGAATGAGTCTGAGAGTTCAAGACTCACTACAGCTTCTTCTTGAGATGGAAACAATTCACATACAGAGAAAATAAGGTTGCTGTGACATCTGAACCAGGTCAAAGCCAGCCAAAATATTCTTAAATAAATGTGCTTCATGATTACAGTTGCTGACATTGTGCATATTATAGCATCTAACTTTTTTCCATTTGAATCGCCACTTTTCCATCAGCACTGTTTATGTTTTAGCAAAACAACATTCACGACAGTCAGTTCTACAGGCCAGTGACTCAGTTGATGGTACAAATATGTGTCACCTTGCAGAAAAAAATCACTAGAGGTTTTCTGAGGTCACATTTCATTTTTTAATAGCTATAGTACACCAAGAACAAAAAAATAAAACTGCAATGCGTCTATAAGAGTAATTCTATTAAAATGAACTGTATGAAAAAAGATATTATGTATATCACTGGCCTTTTTATTTTCCCTATCCCTAGAAATGCCAGCTGCTTTTCCACATTAGCTCTTTCCCTGAGTGTAATATCTTTTAATATGAAAAGTGGAATAATGTAGCCAGGTCAAGTATATTTATATCCTACAAGAGATAAAGCTAAATGATAAATGAGTTACTTCAAAACCCTGTTGTAGTTGCAGAACCCAACAACATGCCCACAAAGGCAGTTCCTGAAGACAGCCTTGCACCAACTTGACATTACCACTAGCAAAATAAAAGGAGGCTGAAAGACCTCAGCTTGGATTATAATGCAGGCCACCCTGGTGTGTGGAGAAGGGGAAGCAACAGAGTAAATCTGGTAATCAAGGTAGGCCTTATTCATATTCATATTTATATTTCAGGCAGATAGAGAGCACCCAAATATATTCTACTTTACTCTTTACAAATTAGGTATACAGTATTATTGGGGCAGGTACGGTGTTATTATTATAGGTGAGGGCTCACTGCATCCCTATTCTGGAACAAT